TGTTTTCGCTACTTATGTAAAAATCTCCACATGTGTTGCACGAGGAACCACTTTGGATTAGATAAATTATTAATTTACTTAAATTGACCTCATTAACCACTGCACAGACTGATCGTAGACCAGAACTGCTCGTAAAATCCACAACAAAAGCGAGGAGTCAGTGGAGGGGGGCTCGTCTCGCGCGGAATGCAAATTGCAGTAAGAAGCGATTTTGACAGACTGCCAAGGCCATGTAAAGCACCCCCTTGTTCTCCCTCGGGCGATTTTTCATATGGGATGAGTAAACTCGACCTTTTTTCCCAGCCAGGTGCCAGAAAATTGAAGAATAAAACTTTTATTTTCCTCTTGACACGTTCAGGACTGAAGTGCAGCTGTCCTATAGGGAGACGGCGATTCCCACAGTATTGAAAAGAGCGATTAGGCAGCAACAGAGTCTAACAACACTTAAAGTGCATTTTGATGTTAAACGATAGTCTCATTAAAGCAGCAAATCAGGTTCATGCTTATATTGTTTAACTAAGCTGAATGACGATCAATCCATATTTTCTAGGCTATAGCCCAGATTAGATATATAGAACCCATAGGTTAACGAATTTCCAATAATAATTGCTTATATAATAGCAGACAATAAATAAAATACAAAGAACAGAATAGACCTTTTTTCCCAGCCAGGTGCCAGAAAATTGAAGAATAAAACTTTTATTTTCCTCTTGACACGTTCAGGACTGAAGTGCAGCTGTCCTATAGGGAGACGGCGATTCCCACAGTATTGAAAAGAGCGATTAGGCAGCAACAGAGTCTAACAACACTTAAAGTGCATTTTGATGTTAAACGATAGTCTCATTAAAGCAGCAAATCAGGTTCATGCTTATATTGTTTAACTAAGCTGAATGACGATCAATCCATATTTTCTAGGCTATAGGCCAGATTAGATACTATAGAACCCATAGGTTAACGAATTTCCAATAATAATTGCTTATATAATAGCAGACAATGAATAAAATACAAAGAACAGAATACATACATAGCCTACATACATATTCTGTAGTTTGTGGTTGCAGTTTGCTGTTGTATATGAATAAAAATGAATTAGGAGGCATTTAAACAAACACATCCAGGCGTATGTTTTTTTTTTCAAGATGTTTTATTGATTTAGCACCTTTTTCATTTTATAGCTACGTCTCCACTTTGTGTGGTAGGCCTGTTTGTTGCTTTGTACAGTTTAACGAATTATATTTTTTCTTCGAAAATTTAAGAACTAAATTCTCTGATAATGCCACCAGACTCAAATAGGCCCACATCTCAACAAAATACAACAAATATACTTTTATCCGCAAGATTAATGTTGTGTAGTCAAGAAAACCGAGCCACTTTTGACAGTCATTGCAATGTGGTTCAATTTACCTCAATTCACATTATTCTTTATGTAAACAACAGAGTATAAACTAAAGTTTAAAAAATGCTGAAATCATGTTCATGCAACAGCGACACTTATCGGTGAAGCTATGAAATGACACGTAACCATAAAATTACTGGATTCTTAAAAAATGTAAACTCAAGAGCTGCATCGTCATTACAATTAACACAAAAATACCGCTGAATATCAGACGGCAGTTCACAGAAATATTTTACATTCTGAACCGAATCTATTTCGGTCACTCATCAGACACACAACACAAATCTTCCACATGTATGTGGCTTCGTAATCCTCAAATACACACACCGTTAGTGCACTTAAATATTAGAACGCTTAAAATAAAAACTTTAAAATGCCTGTTATAAATAAAACATTTCCGTGTTCTGAACTTTGACCTCTTCACTACTAGTTTCGCATTTGCAGTCCTCAACGACCATGACGCGGTTCTCGCGCACCTCTGTCCCGCAGCGCAAGGGCACAAGCACAAAGCGCGATTTAGAGGGCCCGCATCGCGTGCACTGGGCTCCTTGCTGTCCAGGAGACTCTCCGCTGGAGGGGACGAACATGGAGCTGCACTGACCGTAGCAGAGGTTATTGTGAACGGTCACCGTCTCACAGCCGTCCTCAGTTACGCGCTGTGAACAGAAAGTCACTTTAAAAAATATAGCACAAAAACAAACAATAGGCTAAACGAACACTAACAAATAAATGTAGGCCTAATACCCATTTAAGCGATGGGCAAGCTGTTTCAGACAAGTTAATTCAAGTCAGTTTCCAATTAAACTGTAAAATATGATCAGTTCAATTGTCATTCTTAACATATAGGCTAATGTTTAGTTTTTTTTATGTTTATAGCCTAAATTCTCTTGTTTATATTTTCCCTTTGGTTACAAGGTTTTCATCGTTATGTTTTAGCAATATTACTGGATGTAGGCCTATATCCATTAAATGACAATTTATTAAACGCCGATGACTTCTGTAATTGTTACGCGTTTTTTTATTTTTTTTATTTCGATTTTCATTTAGGCTAATTCAAAGTGGTCAAACAAGTGCAATGAACGTAGGCTATCACTAAAGGTTTGACATTATATTATTTAACTTAAATTTTGAAGACCGCAGTTAAATTTAAGTTTTAAGTTTGTTTTCATAGTGCATACCAAATAGGTCAGCACTTAATTAATAATGTATAATTTGTTTTAACAATATAGCCTAGGCTATATAAGAAAATATATATAAGAAAAACCTGTGTAGCTAGTACACTCTAAAAAATGCTGGGTTGTTTCAACCCAACATTGGGTCAAATATGGACTAACCCAGCTGTTGGGTTAAATTTTTTAATTAAAGTTTTAACCCAAAAGTTGGGTTAGTCCATATTTGACCCAACGTTGGGTTGAAACAACCCAGCATTTTTTAGAGTGTACAGTATAATCACAGAACCTTCAATCAATTAGAAACAAAACGCGTCTGACATTGACTTTAATGAAAAATAAAAACCATACCTGTGTGAAGGGCACTGCGGCACAGCTCTGTTTGATCATGTCTTTGGGATTGATGCGTAGCGCCACGTCCTCTTTGCTTCGCTCGCTTTTGTGCATCACTTTCTGCCACATCTCCAGACCCTGTTTTCTCCTGGCGTCTACACTGGTGCTGCTCGCGCTCACCTGAGGGAGCAGGGCCGCAGGTTTGTTATGGGCCAGGACTGACGGACCCGGACGTCCTAGGGCCAAAAAGGCAGGAAACGCGCCTCGACGTGGTGAGTTTTTGGACTGCACGTGACTACCGGCGGCCCGTCGCAGAAAATGAGGGCTGAGTTTGACAACTCTGACAGATCCCCGAATAGGTTCGTCTGGTCCATTCCCGGAAAATTCTAAATCTTTCGCGACGTGTCGGTGAAAGTCCCGCGGAAAGGCGCTGCGAGGAAAAGCGCCAACCAAAGTGACCACTGACAACAGAATAAAAGAGCTGATTTGAAACGTCATTTTGCAGAATTGGAGAATATTACAAACTATACTCGAAAATTGATTTATTTTCCTCCACTGTCGCTCAAGAAAAAGTCGCAGAAGAAAGTCTTTTTTTTTTTTTTTGTCAAATCTCGTGGTTCAAGGTTCTGTATGGTCACCTTGCTGTCGTTGTGGACATGAAGCCAGAGCCGACGACAATTATATAGGCGTACTCTCAGCGGGTTCTTTCATGACTGGTCATTGTTTTATTATAGGGGTGAATATAGCTTGTACCTGTCCGAATAGTGGCTGTGAGTGACAGGTGAGTTTTCGTGTGGTAGTGACAAGTGCACCTTTCATCTCATCTGTTTATCACGCCGTGGGAACGGAAAAGCTTTGCTGTTGTGTGCTTTTTCGCATTTATTTTTTGACAATGTCAGTACATTTTTATTTGACAACTTAAGCATCATCGATTGATGCGGTCTTGTGTAGGCTATGTGTATAGGCTATGTAGAGTTAGGCTTGTGTATTTATTTATTTATTCGTTATACAAAAAAACAAACAAAAAAAAAACCGCATGGGCTAAATTGACCAAGATAGTAAAACAAGAACATTAATAGTAATACGGTTACGAAATTGTTCTTAATGTCACAATGAAAAAACATTATGCACAATAATCACTTACTTACGTGTTTATAGCTAAATAAATGGTTTCTTTCTCACGGGTAGGCATGCTGAAGCTCTTGCTCACCTGAAGTTCAAACAGTCAGATGTTGAGCTCAAGTGTTAAGTGTTTCCTATCTTTAGTGTGCATGGCAAGTAGTCTGAATCATATTTACGACCTTTAATAATCCCTTTGGAAAAAAAACTTTCCCAGGGGGAACATGCAACAAAGGGACTTCCTTGATTTAAGAAAAGGATTTACCACATGATGTAAATATTTCTCCAGATTTGAACTTGAACTGCCATTTATTTGCAACTTTGATTTTGAACTGAGCCACATAATGCTTATTACAAATTAAGCACTTCCTGAGGACCAAACAACATTTTCCATTATAATTGAACAATCCAAACAACAAATCCATTTTTGGCTTGTAATAAATGGCTATTGCTAAAGAAAGACAAAAACACTCTAAAAATCATTGGGTGTTTTGCACTTCAAATAAAACAAATTCTCACCATAGAATAAAAAAAAAGCTATAAGACTGCTGTACAAACAACAAAAATAAGGAATCTCACACATGTGTGTGTTTGCAGAAGATTGAAATGTGATGATTTATGTTGATCAAATAATACCAGAGGACAATACACAATCTGGAAAAACTTGGTTTGTTTAGAGAGTGAAGTTATTCTCTGACATTTATTTATCTGTATATTTTTACTAAGTGTATGTATAATGACTACAGTCTATTAGCATAATTGTGCATGTAAACGCATTCAGTGTCCAGCAGGTGGAGCCAATGACTTTGTGTCTAATTAACCAATGCCCTGTATAGGACTCCTAATATGGAACAAAGCAGGTGGAGCCAATGACTTTGTGTCTAATTAACCAATGCCCTGTATAGGACTCCTAATATGGAACAAAGCTCATCGTTTTATCTTGGTTTGTCCTTGCAGAGCTGGACCCTCCTGAGAGCAGCAGACATTCTCTGTTGGCCGAGAAATGACTGAGGATGGCTGGAATCTCTCGCTTCATTCTCTGATATCAGATGGAACGCTGCGGTCTAAGAATGACAAGGTCAAATGTTTGATAAAGTATACAGATACACACACTTACACGCTAATGACACACATACACTGACCATACTACGCCATGCATTTGTTATAAAATTTTCGTCCTTGTGATGTCTGCTGACATCCGAGTTTGGTCTCTGAGAGCTGGAAAAAAAGGGAGATGCACTCTTTTATTTGTGTCTGAATTTCTTGTAATAAACATTTTATCGATTCACGCAACTCACTCAAATTCCCTTAAAAGGGATAGTTCACCCAAAAATGAAAATTACCCCATAATTTATTCACCCTCAAGCCATCCTAGGTGTATATGACTTTCTTCTTTCAGACGAATCCAATCGGAGTTATATTAAAAAATATCCTGGCTCTTCCAAGCTTTATAATGGCAGTGAGTGGGTGTGTTTTT